CAAATTGTTTTATTATACAGTTTCACAGTTTTTTAAAAACATTAAGTTCCTCAAATATGAGTACTTTTACTGAAGGTTTACTATATAATCAATGTCGTTTATGACGATACTGCGTAGAACAACCTACTGAGTATAATGGCAGTTATGACTGAAGTCCAATTAGCATTTTGTCCCAGAATTTGATAATCTAACCTGGCATATATGAATTCGTTTTTTTACCATCGGCTGTAGCAACCAGAAACTGACAGTTTCTTCGCAGCTATTGTGAATATTTTTGAATATACGTACAGTGGAATTCGTTTATTATGACTCCGCCTATATTGACCATATAGGAAGTAATTGCAGTGTTAAGTTTGGTTTTCATATTAAATTCTCTATAGGTAAGTTTGGATATAATGACTCCGTTTAAAATGACATATCGTTTATTACGACTGATTCTCAAGAAATCATATCCGGCTATAGTGGCCCAATTACACGGAATTATTCCATTTTACGTATAATCTTTTTCTATTTGAACAAGATAGCCAGATACAGACACAGAGTTAAGCAAAGGTTAAGAAATAAGTGGTGCATACGTATGGAAATCCAGGCCAGTATTTTACTTGGAAAAGAATGACGTTCATAGACAATGATTTAACAAGAAAAATTAGAATAAGCAATTAAATAAATTCATGTTTAAATGGTTATTTACACGAGAACTTTCTTAATACGATGATAATCGAAGCATGTGACAACGTAATAGTCCATGTGTAATTATGAATAAGGCATGTTAATAAATCAAACGGTCATATGTACAAAGGTACCTACACACACATTAAAAAGAAAATGAATTACAGTATCATTACTGTCCATGTACACATGTTTATTTCAAATCAAATCGGTTATAAGGAGCACAGAACTTGTTCATTACAGACGGATGCTTATTAAAGGCAAAGCACGTATGAACGCCTGTGTCGAATGCGGGGCATTTTTTACCCCCGGTTATGAATATGTATGTAAAATTGAAGTGGGAAATTTCACCCCGTGTTGTGTCGAAATTGACAAGAAATTATTGGTATTCTCAGATAACACATTCGAAATAGTTGGCGTTTTTAAACTTTAATGAATAATTATAACAACTTTTAAATTTTCTAGTTTTCCATTTTGCTGGTTACGAAAATTGAAATTGGTGTTTATAAATTAAATTGTATTAATATCCAGTGAAGTGAACTTGTTGAATACCTAGTAAATGTAGAATAAAAAGCAATACTAAAATATCAATTCTTTTAAATTGAAAATCTAAGCGTGGGTTTGACACTTTGTTACTTTTAGAATTTTCCGACATTGGAAAATATCAAGAATAAAATTAGCGCTTTATTTTCAATTAATACGTTACCAAAAATTTTTTTCTTTATTCGTGTCCGTTCAAGGACAAACTAAACGTCAATAAAAATCTGTGTGAAAAAACTCAGACATTTCTATTTTGTACAAACGGCAACGGGAAATAGTTACCCTTAAGCTTACCTTAAAAACATTTTCCAACAAAAACTATTCGGTCTCTCAAAGACAGCTAGTTATTTTTAATATCCGGCTCGAAGGACCATTTATCTATTTTACATTCGCTTTACCTCACTTATAAATTTTTAATGTTAACAATTTATAAGCAAGATACTTATTTTCGTTATCAAACCTCTCCGCTAGCCAACTAATTTCTAAATTATCAATAAGACCAGCCTTTATTTAGTATTTTTAATAAAAATTATAACATACACTCTGGTTGGAGTCAAATGCATAAATAAATTAGCAGATCGCAAAATAAGCAGTTGCCAAATACGTATAATACCAGAAATATGTATAATACCATAAGTAGGTATCGATAATTTCGGAAGATTTTCCTTTTCTGCAAAACGAATTTATTAATTCATTTTTTATCAACTTATCGCAAATATGAAAACCTAATTAAAATTTCAGAATCAGTGATAAATTACACTTATATCGAAGAAATTATTATCTATCTATGCCATACCTACAAGTATTTCCACATGCATATGTTAACGAAAATACATGCACATTAACAATCCGATTGGCTCTCTCTATTACATTTTTTTTTAATTGGGTTTTAATCGGCCAATGAGGATTTACATACAATTATTTACGCAATATCGTTATCAACTAAAGTGCCACGCTTCGCTCCAATCAGGAAATGTTTTAGTCTAGGTCATTAAAAATTTCAACTATGAGCGATACTCCCGAAACTGAAAAACTGCTTTTTATCAGGAAATATTCTCGTTAATTGGTTCATCAAATACATATATACACGATGCGATCTACAAGTAAATTATAATTAATAATAATTTCGTATGAATCGCAGAACAGAACACTTGAAAAATTCGTGAAGCTTCCAAAAAATCATTAATAACGTCTCTCGGAGATCATCCCAAATTAACTATCTTTTGATTTTATTGTTAGGGTTCTGTATTCCCCTATGCTTACGAAAGATTTTAGTTAATTGCTAACGGATCATATTTAAGAAATTATAGACAATGTCAGTTTTTAAAGTTTTGCAAATTTACCATCAACGTTAAAAATCTCAGTACCTAATAACGACAAGAAGTTTCCGAAATTGTTCGGTTTGTCTTGTAAATGCATACCGTGCAAAAAAAATAGAAATACTCCAGTATTGGATACTTATAAGAGTATCACCGATACTTATAACAANTGTTTAATAATGACTATATAAATATTTACATGCCTAGAAATGTATAAAAATTGGCATATTTATTAACTTTGAACCCCCATATTTTTTTATGGGGGTCAGACCGCCACGAACTTTTTATGGTACAGTGGTGGGGGAGATCTTCTCCTTCGATCCTACCAACCCCTACCCCCTTCGGGAGAGGGGGCCATCATCTAGACCTTTACCAAAATTTCAATATCGTAGATGTCGAAAATAGGCTCAGGGCACATAGAATTTTTTTATAAAATTTTATAATTCATACATTAAACGTCCAACATTAAAAATCTAGTGGTTATAACATGTCGTTATATATGTTTATGGAACCAATTATACACCTGAATATGAGCATTTAAACCCGTCCAGTTATTTGCAGTTGTTTAGTCAAAATAGACGACTTTTAGGTAACGATTCTTATTAAAAGAAAACATTTTGGATACCGAAAGTAGACCTAAGCAACCTATTCATCTTTAAGTTAAATGTTTTAATAGATTTGCAATTATTTTTTTTATTTTTAATATTATTAAGTCGAACTTTATTTTAACGAAATATAAAAGTTTACTAGTTTATATCTTTAATTATTGCTTTGAAGAACAAAATATTTATTTCCACATTCACTGATGCATTTTGCTTGCCCCCCGTAAGAGTTTGGCATAACCAGGTGACAACCGACCTGGCCCCCTCATTCCTAAATCTCAAATTGCCTGCGCATTTTCTTAAGTACAAAATAATCGACTGTAGATACCTTCAGGAAAATTCATTTAAAAATATCCATTTCAACATGCACTTATTTATGTTTCTACATACATATGTATTCCCATATGTGGGTCTTGTTCATAAAAATCATTAGATAGCTAGCAAATGACACTGTTAATTTCTTATTCAGATAAGAACTCTCCTGATTACTCTCTAGAAATTTAATTAATAATCTGTTAAGCTTCTAGAATATTAAATAATGTTGAAATCAGGTTATCTATTACATAACACTTTTTTTTTTTGAAGTTACTCTAACGCATATCTCAACAGTAAAGTGATGAGAAATATTTGGAGATAACATTATTTATGAACAAACGTACTGTATTCCACTGCACTGTAGAGTTTTATATTAAAACGAAATATTAAACGCCATAGATATGCAAATAAAAATGTGTAAAAAAGTCACTCACCCTTCTTGTTGATTGTCCTCCTCCTTTTTGATTTAACCAATTAGGCACCTGTTAAAAAAAGAAACATAAATAAAACCAATTGTAAAGTTAAGAACGTACCAGATACATATAATCATCAATTGTAATACATATAGGACAATATGTTAAATGTCGACTTGCAAATAAATTCCACACCGGCACGGCAGTGGTATAAAAATTTACTTTTTATTACGTAATCGACCTTTTCAGGAATAACTACCTCAATAAATATTTATAGATTGCATCACAGGTTTACTATCAAACGAACCTATAAATTGTACATGCATATGTTAAATCATAATGGAGCTAATGTGGGAATAAAATATTCTTTTTCCAAAAGAATGAGAAATTTCCTTCATAAAAATAACCGATATACAATATCGTTCGTTCTCGTAGTTTCCATATAGAAATTAGATATACAGGGTGATTTTTTTGCACTTACTCGAAAGAGATAAGAAAACATTACAAATTTTATGGTAAATGTCTAGATGATGGCCGCCACCCCCGAAGGGTGACAGGATCGAAAGAGGAGGTCTCCCCTACCACTGTATCATAAAAATTCGTGGCGGTCTCACCCCCATAAAAAGTTATGGGGGTTAGATGGGGGTGGGGGTACGGGGGATCGAAAGAGGGTAAGGGGTCACCTGAGTAAAACCCCATAAAAAATTTGCGGCGGTCTCACCCCCATAAAAAGTTATGGGGGTTGAAAGTTGATTATTTTGACAATTTTGATACACTATAATTCAAATAAAATTCAATAAAAAATTATTTTCAAGCGGGTGGAGGTGGGGGATCGAAAGAGGGTGGTCACTTGAACAAAACCCGATAACCTAACATAACCTAACCTAACCTACCCTATTGATAAAGATATTTAAATAATGTTTTATATAACTTTCTCAATATTTTTATGTATTTTTCATTAGTTTTACCTTTGAATATTGTTTAAGAATGACTATATAAATATTTACATGCCTAGAAATGTATAAAAATTGGCATATTTATTAACTTTGAACCCCCATAACTTTTTATGGGGGTGAGACCGCCACGAACTTTTTATGGTACAGTGGTGGGGAGACCTCCTCTTTCGATCCCCCCACCCCCACCTGTGGTGGGGGTCATCATCTAGACCTTTACCAAATTTATAAACATAAAAGGAAGTATGATTAAAAAAAAAAGATATTTGCCATATGATTTTGATATTTATATACGATTTTTAAAGTATCTAACGTTAATCGTAATTCTTTGTAAAATTTTTAATAATTTCCAAATACGACGTTTTGAACGAATAGAATCGATAAACTTATATTTACCTATTACCGGCAGTTTTGAACATTGATGAATATCGCTGAGAAAAACCCATAAAGTTTACAGGAATTACTGTAGAGATTGTCTTGTTACTACTTTTTTCCTTTCTAGTTTCATAACGTTAACACATTGCGATATTTTTAGCTTTTCGTTAATTAATATAACCTTAATTAGACGAAATGTCTGAAAATTATGGTGTAAGTAAAAGAAAACCACTCTGTATAATCCAAAGAAATTTTTCGTCGATTTTCGTTTGCTTTGCCTTACATATTATTTTAAGTATTAGAACAACTTTGATCATTAGACTGAGTTATTGTAAAATATCTTGTCATACAAATGAGCCACCCCGGAAATGGCTGCCACGTGTCTTGCTGGTGATAAAGGCAATTTTCCAAGTTGAAATTGTTCAAAGTAACTTTAGAGGGACCGAGCGGTGGTGTCGACCCCCTTCTTATGCGGAGATTTTCTTTATCGTCTTCACATGCGGAAGCATTTTCTTAACGAAACTTTACACGTTAAACGTCATATTTATATACATATCCCGAAGCTAATCAGATCATTTACATTCCAAATGGACCCGGTATTTACAGTTAATTGGAACGTAGGGTGGGAATAACCATTAAAAAACGGACAGACAGACACACGAGTGTTCCGTTTTTCATCAAATACATATATACACGATGTGATCTACAAGTAAATTATAATAAATAATAATTTCGTATGAATCGTAGAACAGATCACTTGAAAAATTTCTGAAGCGCTCCAAAAATCATTAATAACGTCTCTCTGAGATCATCCCAAATTAACTATCTTTTGATTTTATTGTTAGGGTTCTGTATCCCCTTATGCTTACGAAAGCTTTTAGTTAATTCCTAACGGATCATATTTAAGAAATTATAGACAATGTCAGTTTTTAAGGTTTTGCAAATTTACCATCAACGTTAAAAATCTCAGTACCTAATAACGACAAGAAGTTTCCGAAATTGTTCGGTTTGTCTTGTAAATGCATACCGTGCAAAAAAAATAGAAATACTCCAGTATTGGATACTTATAAGAGTATCACCGATACTTATAACAAGGTTTTAGTGTATATTATACAAGATTAGTTTGTGGCATCGAGGAGTAAATATTTTATTTTATTAACATACGTACAAGCATAACTATTTAGTTTTGGGGTAAGGTCGTCAGTCTGGTTGGACAGGCACCTCCACTCTAATCTAGGTCTACCTCTACCCCTTCTAACACCCGTTTCTGCCTTTAATATGTCTTTGACTAGACCTTCATGCCTGAGAAGGTGTCCTACAAACCTATCTCGCCTATTTCTTATTGACTTCCATAGAGTTCTCCTATTCTTTCTAATACCTGTTCATTTCTAACCTTCTCTATCCACGATATCCTCATCATTCGCCTGTGACACCACATTTCGAACGCTTCTAACCTTTTCTTTTCCACCGCGCCCACCGTCTCTTTCTTCCCTTGCATACTAGCATTTTTGTTTTACTTTTATTTATTTTCATATTATACTTCTTTTGTCAATAACGCTTCCATTGTACTTTAACAGTATGTATTTAGGGCAATGCCCATCACGAGATGTGATACCCCGATAGAATGCTCATGAGTAGAAGATCCCATGCCATGATTCCGGAATCTTTTGGATATGCCACCATTTCGAAAACAAGAAGAAATGGAAGGAAGTAAGTGAAAGATGAACAATGACCATCGCAATAGTCAACAAGAACAACAGTAAGAAATATGTGAAACAAGTAAGACAATTATTGAACTCAGATCATCGTTTAAGAGTCAAGTGTGCTGTGTGCACTCGATTGTGATTGAAAATTTGCAGATCAGAAAATTGTTCGTTCTAAATGGTTTGTGGGAGTAAACAAAAGTACCTATTGCTACATTCTTTCGACATTTTTCCTTTTTTTCAGTGAATAAGACACTGAAAGAACACCATTTTGTACAAACAGGGCAGTGGAAATGACTTCCCAACACTGTTAAAACTTTTAAATGAGCCACAACAATACTAACATCAAAAACATTGGAAAAAGATATTATTTTTAAAAATTTTGACCCGAAATCTCAAAAACATCTGCCATTTGCTTCTAAAACAATTTTTATATTCTGAGTCACAGATATTGTGCAGTATATGATTGGCTGACAGAATTTGCTTGGTACTATTATTATTATTATTATTATTAAAGACAGAATTACACGGAATTATTCCATTTTACGTATAATCTTTTTCTATTTGAACAAGATAGCCAGATACAGACACAGAGTTAAGCAAAGGTTAAGAAATAAGTGGTGCATACGTATGGAAATCCAGGCCAGTATTTTACTTGGAAAAGAATGACGTTCATAGACAATGATTTAACAAGAAAAATTAGAATAAGCAATTAAATAAATTCATGTTTAAATGGTTATTTACACGAGAACTTTCTTAATACGATGATAATCGAAGCATGTGACAACGTAATAGTCCATGTGTAATTATGAATAAGGCATGTTAATAAATCAAACGGTCATATGTACAAAGGTACCTACACACACATTAAAAAGAAAATGAATTACAGTATCATTACTGTCCATGTACACATGTTTATTTCAAATCAAATCGGTTATAAGGAGCACAGAACTTGTTCATTACAGACGGATGCTTATTAAAGGCAAAGCACGTATGAACGCCTGTGTCGAATGCGGGGCATTTTTTACCCCCGGTTATGAATATGTATGTAAAATTGAAGTGGGAAATTTCACCCCGTGTTGTGTCGAAATTGACAAGAAATTATTGGTATTCTCAGATAACACATTCGAAATAGTTGGCGTTTTTAAACTTTAATGAATAATTATAACAACTTTTAAATTTTCTAGTTTTCCATTTTGCTGGTTACGAAAATTGAAATTGGTGTTTATAAATTAAATTGTATTAATATCCAGTGAAGTGAACTTGTTGAATACCTAGTAAATGTAGAATAAAAAGCAATACTAAAATATCAATTCTTTTAAATTGAAAATCTAAGCGTGGGTTTGACACTTTGTTACTTTTAGAATTTTCCGACATTGGAAAATATCAAGAATAAAATTAGCGCTTTATTTTCAATTAATACGTTACCAAAAATTTTTTTCTTTATTCGTGTCCGTTCAAGGACAAACTAAACGTCAATAAAAATCTGTGTGAAAAAACTCAGACATTTCTATTTTGTACAAACGGCAACGGGAAATAGTTACCCTTAAGCTTACCTTAAAAACATTTTCCAACAAAAACTATTCGGTCTCTCAAAGACAGCTAGTTATTTTTAATATCCGGCTCGAAGGACCATTTATCTATTTTACATTCGCTTTACCTCACTTATAAATTTTTAATGTTAACAATTTATAAGCAAGATACTTATTTTCGTTATCAAACCTCTCCGCTAGCCAACTAATTTCTAAATTATCAATAAGACCAGCCTTTATTTAGTATTTTTAATAAAAATTATAACATACACTCTGGTTGGAGTCAAATGCATAAATAAATTAGCAGATCGCAAAATAAGCAGTTGCCAAATACGTATAATACCAGAAATATGTATAATACCATAAGTAGGTATCGATAATTTCGGAAGATTTTCCTTTTCTGCAAAACGAATTTATTAATTCATTTTTTATCAACTTATCGCAAATATGAAAACCTAATTAAAATTTCAGAATCAGTGATAAATTACACTTATATCGAAGAAATT